GAGAACCTCCGACCGAACGAGTTACCCGCAAACCGGCACCGTGTACCAGTAACCCGCGATATGCTGCGCTGCCTACNCAAAACACTGAACTTCGAGTCTTCCTTTGATTCAGCGGTTTACGCGGCTGCCTGCGTCCTGTTCTGGGGTCAGCTCCGAGCAGGCGAAGTGCTCCCATCGTCACAGAACTCGGGTCTCATCCAAACACCAAAACGCTCCGCGTTCCACAGACCTTCCCCCCACACGATGTCTTACGCGCTGATTCTGCCATCCACCAAGACGCAATACAACCGGGGAGAAGTCGTCTACCTCCACCACCAGCGCGGCTCCACGGACCCGATATACGCCCTGCAGTTCCACCTCCAGAGGAACAGCCTTCCAGACGAGGCCCCGCTCTTCGCGTACACACATCCGAAAGGCCCAAGGGCACTCACAAAGACCGCGTTCACAGCGCGTTGCAACACCGCGGACGCACCGGAGCGGAGGTCACGTGCGGCGGTGCTGATTCTTGGGCGGCGGAGGGCAGTCTCGCTGGCTGCTCGCCGCCACATCCTAGGGGCGGCAAGGAGGTCCGGCCTCCCCTCGTTTCTTTCGTATTGGATTCCGATCTCTCGTGAAATTCCGCAATGCCTCCATGGCTCGAACGACCCCCACTTTTCGTCAAACGACTGTCGGCCTTGCGCAAGGAAGAACTGCAACGACTGGCCGCCCACTTAGGGCTCGAGGAGGAGGGCACGGTGGCGGCCCTCAAAGCCAGGGCGAGGCAGAAACTCCTAGCCGACATCAAGTTCTACATGGCACACCCCGACTTCAAGGCCCTATTCACGAGGCAAGAACTTGCGGAAATCATCGACAACGCGTCGAGTACTTCGAACTCCACCTTCGAAGGTATCGTACGAGAAGGGGGAGCAGGATCAGAGGAAGGCTCTCACCACGAGGAGGACGAAGACAGTAGGGAGTCGGAGCCCGATAGCTCGGGCCAGGAGCGGAGCCCGGACCAGGAGGACGAGGAGGAGGACGATCCACAACTCCCACCGCCGTCGGATGACAGGGGTGAGTTGTTCCTCTCAGAAGTAGAGGGCATAGGCCCAACCATCACGCGCTCGCGACGGCCATAGGGCCGCCGGCACGTCACCCACCGAGGTCGCATATGCGTCCGAGGATTAAGGGGGGTCATATGTCCCTTCCCTTCCCTGCCGTCCGTTGTATATACGACGAGGACCATTTGGTCGAAAGGCAATTGCCATAGGGCGCCCGGTTTCGGAATCCAGCCATATGGCAGTGGAACTGACGCTCACCCAGGCGGCTCATCTCCACCGACACCTCCCACGTCCCCAACGCCGTCTAGGCAGGACACCATCAACACCCAGGGACTCGAGGAGGAACCCCGTATGGGTCGCCAGTCAGGAGCCGAGCCCTTGCAGGATGGGCGGCCGGTGAGGCGTCACCACCGCAAACGGAGACAAGACCGCTCGCGCCCGAGACATCGTCACTCTCATCGCACCTCCCCGGCTAGGAAGAGGAGGCGGCGCGATTCGTCCTCGGATCTGCTCGAGCAGGGTCATAGGCGGGGCGGGGGAGACTCGACTTCGCGCTCAGGGAGACGCTTCGGCTCACCATCGTCTTCGTCGAGCAGTCCCTCATCGGGATCCGAGACGTCATCCGGGAGCTCGCGGACGCTCACCCCCAACACCGACAGGTCACGAAGCATGTCCCCGCCCTCCTCACCTTCCCCGCGTGGGCGGAGAGCCGACTATCGCGACAGGCGGGCGTCACACCGCGACCATAGGAGGGACCGCCGTTCGAGGCCAGAGCATCGCATCCACCAGATCCAGGAGTCGGCCAGAGGCCCGCGTCGCCCTCAACTCATCAGAGGAAAGCAGGCCAAGGCGGACTGCTACTCGATCCCCGACCCGATCAGGAAGAAGTTCCAGGAAGGATGGACCACCCACATACCTCTGAACTACCTCACCGACAAGGCCGTAGCCGAATACGGTTGCGACGCGTCGTCGCTCTTGACGGATATGTACGCGGTCGACCCGGCGAAGGGACTGATCCAGGCGGAGAAAGTTCTCCCATCGGCGGGCGAACTGAAACTGACCTTCGGAGAGTGGTACCAGGCGTGGAAGCGCCTGCTTCAACTCATCAAGACCTACTTCCGCCGCGACTACGAGCGGTGGAAGAAACACTTCGATCGCATCTGCCGTTCCGACGGGGCCACGTCAGATAATTGGACGCTTTGGCTGGCTTACGACGCCGAAGTCCGCCGCAGGTGCCACCTCGAAGGCATAGACCCCGGCACCTTCCACAAGAATATCTGGAGGAAGGTAGAGCCGGCTTTCGTCAAGGCGCAGGTGATGGCTTCCCTGCAGCCCTTTCGGACCCAAAACGCAGCACGGGGCACCGGCCCCAAACCGGACCAGCCAGCAAAACACTCGGCCGGACGATCACAGACCTTCGCCCCGAAGCCGATCGACGCGAGATGCTTCTTCTGCGGCGGAAAGGGCCACAGAGCGGCGACGTGCAAGGCAGAAACTCTCGTCAACGGCCAGCCAGTTATGCTCACCCGGGGAGAAGATCGCGCAGTCCGAGACGCCAAGGGCCGACACTACTGTTTCTACTTCAACATGGCCGGCGGGTGCACGAAGAAGGACGCCGGACCGTGCCCTAAAGGAGACCACCGGTGCACCCTTTGCGGGGGCGCGAATCACGGAGCCCAGGCGTGCACTATCGTGTGCTGATCCCTTTCCGATCATTACCCCATTCATCGCGTCCCGCTGGGACGAGGCGCTGCGTAACGCGGGCCTGCAGGACAGGTTTTTGGACGTGGTGTCGAACATCACGGCCGGTTTCGATATGGGTATCACCTCATCTTTAATAGATTCATACAGTCCGCCTAATCATAGGTCTGCGCGGGAGAACCACGAGGCCATCGATGCGTATGTAGATAAGGAGAGAAAGGCCGGCCGCTATTCGGGCCCGTATTCGAAAACGCAGCTCGAATCGCAGATCGGCTTCTTCAGGACATCCCCGCTTGGAGCGGTCCCGAAAGCAGGCACAGGTGAAATGCGCATGATTCAAGACTTTTCATTCCCGCGCGACGACCGAACTCGATCGTCGGTCAACAGCGAGATAGACACGGACCAGTTCCAATGCGATTGGGGTTCGTTCGCGGAGATGGCGTTGCTGGTCATGGAAGCGCCGCCAGGCGCTCAGGTCGCCACGCTCGATGTCGACGCCGCGTTCCGTTGCATACCAATTCGCCCCGATCAACAACGTCACTTCGTCGTACACTGGCGCGATCAATTTTGGATCGATCACAACGCCCCATTCGGCCCGGCTAGTTCGCCAGGCGTATGGGGTCGGGTGGCGGATTGCATGGCGGCGATTTATCTCGCCTGGGGGGTCGACGCTCTGAAAAAATGGGTTGACGACTTTGCGTTCTTCCGATATCCAGTGGGTCTCGATTCGAAAGGAAACCCGGGGTTCCATTACGGCCTCGACGAGCTGATGGCACTAGCGGAATGGCTCGGTTGGCCGTGGAAACCCTCAAAGACTCACGACTTCGCGACAGTCTTCAAATACCTCGGTTTCATATGGGACTTAGATAGAAAACGGGTCTCAATCCCCGAGGAGAAGAAATCCCGATACCTGGCGAAAACTCGAGGCGTGGAGGACAGGCGGCTCCTTCACGAGGAAGGAGGCCGAACAGGTCCTCGGAACGCTGGTTCACTGTAGCATGGCGGTGCCCGACGGCCGATCACGCCTGGTACACCTTTCGAGGTTCGCAAGCTCGTTTCCGCATAGGTCGTCCCCGTTCGCGAGGAGGAAACCCAACGCGCATGTCCTCGAAGACGTCGAATTCTGGAGGGCCCAGCTCCAGCGATCAGAGTGCGGCAGCACGCTAGCGGTGCCAACGAACACTTCGTCCTGCGACCTATGGGTCGACGCCTCGACTTCCTTCGGAATAGGAGTCGTCGTAGACGGGACGTGGGACGCTTGGGAGCTGAGTCCGGGCTGGAAAGTCGGAGGGCGCGACATAGGTTGGGGGGAGATGCTCGCGGTGGAATTCGGTCTGAAAATGGCCATCGCGAAAGGCATCTCCGATACTCGCCTGATCATGAAGTCTGACAATCAAGGCGTCATTGGGGCTCTCGAGGCCGGGAAGTCGAGGAACACGGAGCAAAACCGCGTTCTCCAGAGGGTGGTCTCGCTTATGCGGGCGGCAAACATCTGGCTAGTCTCGCAGTACGTCCCCTCGAGCCTCAATAGAGCGGACGAACCCTCGAGAGGAGTCGCGCCGAAGGATCTTCAACGGTCAGAGCTGCCAATCAGGATTCCGAACTGTATTTTGGGTCTAGTTACAAGGGCCGATTCATGTATTTAGCACTTGTCCGAGACGCTCCAGCTTCAAAGAGGACTGGTACGAAAGAGAGTGAAGCCAAACAAAGATGCCGAGGACGCAGAACCGGCGACGCGTCGAGATCAGGACTCCTCTCATGCGCACCACGACGTCCCGGTCCTCGTCGACGCAGGTCAAGCGCCGACACCCTCTGACGACTTCTCGAGTATCTCCAGAAGGCGACCATTTCTCTCTACCCAGCGCAAAATCTCGTCGGGCTCACCTCCATAATCCGAACGGGATCAAGCTTTCGGGGGCGACGGAGGATCATCTCGCTAGAGCATTGCGCCACGGATGGGCCCCATCAACGTTGAAGGGTTATAACGGTGCAGTAGGCCGTTTCATAAAATTCTGCAGAAGGGAGAAGATCCACAGACGATTTTGGTTGCCAGCGGATGAGCTGGTCCTATGCGCGTTCGCGGCATCGAACGAAGGCCGCCAGGCTGGCAGCACGGCGAGGAACACCATAGCCGGACTCAAGGCCTGGCATGCGGCACAGAACGCGGACTGGAAGGGCGGCAAACGGCTCAGATACGTCCTGAACGGGGTCGAGAACAGGCGACCGCCGGTCTCCCGCCGACCACCCCGTTTACCGATCAGTCGCGATATGCTCCGCATCCTGCGGGCAAATCTCGATTTGACGGACCCAGTCGACATCGCCGTGTTCGCAGCTGCGTGCGTGGCCTTTTGGGGCCAATGCCGTCTAGGGGAGCTCCTCCCCGCCTCGACGACGCGAGCGGCCACAGAGAGGTCGCCATGCCGCAGAAACCTCGCCCTTCCCTCCCCAGCCTCGCCGTCCCACGTCGTTCATCTCCCCTCGACCAAGGTCCATTACAGCCAAGGGGAGGACGTTGTTATCCTTCGCCAGCAAGGATCCTCGGACCCCATTAGGGCCCTGCGGCATCACCTATACTGGAACAACCCGAGCGACGCCGACCACCTCTTCGCATATCGCACCTCGTTCGGCACGCGCCCCCTCACTCGCCGGTTCTTCATGACAAGATGCAACGCAGTTTGGACCCAATCCGGACTCCCAAGATTCACCGGGCATTCATTCCGCATTGGCGGCACCACGGAATTGCTTTTGGCCGGCGTCCCGCCCGACGTGATCAAGAGGGCCGGGCGGTGGTCTTCCGACGCCTTCCTCCGCTATTGGCGACTGGTCGAGGGCATCCTGCCCGTTCACATGCAGCTCCTTCCGCTAGGGGACCTCCGAGGCAAGCCCAGAAGATCTCGACCGCAGTGTGGGGTCAGCCGGGCGCGCGCGCCCCGTCTGGGGGGCGGTCTGGGCGAGCCGTCGCGCTCGCACCCGGCCTACGCCCAAGCAAGAGCTTCACCCACACCACACGGTGACTCCCTCGACGCGCCCTAGCGCGCAACTGCGGGCCCGCAGCCCGCCCAAGAGCGGACGCACCGGAGCGGAGGTCACGTGCGGCGGTGCTGATTCTTGGGCGGCGGAGGGCAGTCTCGCTGGCTGCTCGCCGCCACATCCTAGGGGCGGCAAGGAGGTCCGGCCTCCCCTCGTTTCTTTCGTCCCACCCTCCTCTCCCTGGTGGAGCGGACCCGTCGAATCCATGTTAATTTAGCATAGACATTTGTCTACGTACTACGGAGTAGGTATATACCGGAATCAACGCTTCAGCAACCTAGGGCAAGTTGAGAGAGTCGACCGAGTAGGTCGGGGGCGAGCCGTCGCGCTCGCACCCGGCCTACGCCCAAGCAAGAGCTTCACCCACACCACACGGTGACTCCCTCGACGCGCCCTAGCGCGCAACTGCGGGCCCGCAGCCCGCCCAAGAATCTGGTCGCGGAATCGGTACCCTCGCATAACGGGACACTGCTTCCGGATAGGCGGGACGACGGAACTCTTACTAGCAGGTGTTCCACCGCACGTCGTCAAGACGGCAGGGCGGTGGTCATCAGACGCTTTTCTGCGGTACTGGAGGTCGATCGAGGACATCCTTCCCCAGCACATGCGACGCATCCGGCCGTTCAAGCGCCCCCAAGCTCAACGGTAATCCTCTCGCCGGGGTGGGCTCATCCTCGGTCTCCCCCCTTCGGCTGGTGCGGCGGTTTGGGTGAGCCTCTGGGCTCACCCTCGGATCGCGCCCAAGGACGGTCGGCCCCTGGGGGCCAACTGTCTTTCACCCAAACCCACGGGAGATGTATTGTATATACACAGAATACATTCTTTGCATCGCACGACGACCCAAGAAGCGAGCACCGAGCGAAGCTCGGTGCGCCGTCTTGGGGCTCGAGGGAGACAATTGAAACTCCGCTCGCGTCTCGCTCTTCATCCCTCCGGACTCCCTCGTCAGTAGA